CTTCTTGCTAATTTAATGCGGTCATCAATGTTAATTTCATTTTCTCTTTTGTTTATTCTTTGAAGACCTAAATGTGTTGTGGCATCTGTTGGTTCAATAGTTTTTCCTTTTAATACCCAACTGTTATCTTTTTCTTGCGTATTACACTGTACGATTTTAGTTTTTATTGGATGGATGTTATATTGATGCTGATCAGCATATCTACCTATAATGTCAAGCATTAATTGCATTTCCGATGTGTCCGAGCTCAATAAGGCAATGTCATCTGCACAAGTAGGTGCACCTATGTAAATATTTCCTAGATGGAAGCCAATAGAGTTGTTTTTGAGTTCTTCAAGTAGATCTTGGACATACAATTTATAGAGGTGTGTAGATAAAATGCCTCCTTGTCTTACTCCTTGTTTTATATTAAAACTATCACTGATATCCCCCATCCACTTTACTTTTGATTCTAAATCTGTATATAGGCCCTTAATAAGTTGTAATAGATCTGGAGGAATATTTTGGTCTAGTAGTTTGTCCATTAGTATGATATGTTTGACTACATCAAACGCTGATTGTACGTCAACTGTTGTTATGAATAATGGTATGTTGTTTTTAAGTTTTTCACATTTTGCTTCTGTTATAAGTAAGCTTGCCATAAGGGGACATAATCCTTCTGTGAAGCCAAATTGTAAATCTGGACCCGGATGTAATTGGAGTTTCTTAAGAATACACAGTTCATGTACTTTTCCAATGATGGGAGTAACAGTAATTCCTCTGTAACTCTTGACATCTAGAGGGTTTTTGCTACTCTTTATAACAGGAGTAAGGATTCCTGTTTTAAAGGCTCTTGGAATAGAGTTGGTCTCTTTGATTTTGTTGAATAGAGTTGTTAATACTGGTGTTAATACTGATTTGGCATTCTTAAGATGTTCGGCAGTGAGCCCATATTCATCTGGTGATTTCCCTACATTTAGAGTTTCTATTGATTTTTGAATTTCTGTTTCTGTGTATGGGTCAGATGTTACTGGATTTTCTTTATAAAATTTTTCAATTAGGTTTTGACGTGTTTGACAGAGATCTAAATAGGAGTTGTCATATTTCGAGTTTTTTGGCATACTTAAGTCTTCATAATAATTAGCAAATACTTTTCTTTGGGTTGAATGACAGTATTCCTTTTCACCATCTATTTCTATACAAGTTGTAGTACTAGTTCTGGAATTTCGGTTTCTATTTATCAGTCTATAGAAAAGTTTTGTTGTTGGTTTTTCCATGATTTGTTGGTAGAGTTGTTTTCTAGCAACAGCTTGCTCTATTTTTTGTGAGTTTCTCAAAAGTTATTTTGCTGTTTTTAATTCAGTATGTGATGGATGGTTTTGTGGCCGTCCCTGATTTTTCCATTGTGAATATAGTAATTTACATGATTTCAGATGTTTTCGTACGGTTGGCGTTGCTTTCCATTTTGGCCCTTGTAATTTGATAGGTTTTGTTGGAACAGCTACCTTTGTTGCTTTCAATAATTCATTTGTAATGGTTTGAAGTTGGTCTGAAGTTGAATCCTCAGATTTAATTTTAAGGAGACCCTCTGATAAATTTGAGTTGTATATTTCAGTGTTTATTTCATCCCAGAGAAGTTTTTTGTACGAGGTTCCTTCAGATGGTTTTCTATTTGCAACACTTGGAATTGTTACAGTGGTGTTTGTTTCTACTGGCACATGAGCTGAGCTATTTGTCGCTGAACGGTCCCAAATTTTGTGTTCTTTGAAGATTGATATATTTCTTGTTAAAATGTAATCGATTTGAGAGGATGATTGTCCAGAATGATGAAAGAAAGTCATTTTTGAATCATAATTTCCAGCTGTTTGAAGGCCTAATTCCTGTACAAAGTTTTTCAGTAATTTATCATGCTTGTTTGATCTTGAATGTAATAAAGTTCCATTGAGATCCCCACAGAAAATTATTTCATAAAGGTCCTGATATTTTTGTATTATATCAAAGATTATATCTAGACATTTTGAGTACTCATATGCCGAGTCTTTGCCATTAGTTGGAAGATACGCATTGATTATGCAGATATCATAGTTAGAGGATAGGGTGATAGCTACAATTCTTTCGTTTCCCTCTTTTAATTTCTTAACGTTCCCACTCCATGAATCTGGCCATAAAATTGAGACCCCTGATTGTCCTTTTGGTAGTTTTGATCCGTCTAGTGGATCGTTTGAGTCGTGACAGCGTGTGAAGTTGTCAAAATTTGGTAGTATATCAGAGAGAAATTGTTTTTGAAATTCCCATAAAAAATGTTCTTTAATACATATAATCTTGTTGTCCGATGCCAAAGAGACCAGAAATGCAGTGTTAGATTTAACGCCTTCAATGTTACATGTAACTATATCGATCGTCTCTTCCCGGATTCCATCATTTCTTCGAGTAGAGTTGTATTGTCTGTGATTTTAGTTAGTTCATCCTGATTGTTCGTATCTTCCAATTGGGTGTGTGAAATGTGATCTAATATTTCAGCCCCACTATTTTTAGTCTGATGCTCTATGTTAATCTTTGTAGTACTAAATGTATGGTTTGAATTGGTAGTTTGTAGTTTTTCCTGTTGGTTGAGGTAGGTAGTACTGTCTTTGAGTTGTTCAGAAGTATTTGCTATATTTATACTTGCACTACAGGCATTTTTGTTCATAGGCTGAATATTTTGGCTTACTTGAGGGGTTGATCTCATTGTTGTTGTTGGTTGAACAATTGATGATGATTGCCTTTGTTGGTAGTTTACATGACTTGGCCTAGTTTGCTGTGAATGTTGTTGGTCATGTTGATATATAGGCGGTTGATGTGTTGACGGACGGTATGTTGGCGGACAGAATGTTGGCGCTTGATGATATGTTGGTACTTGTTGAACTGTATGATGTCTTAATACATTGATATTATGATTTGGTAATGTGCCAAAGTGTGACATCCCTCCTTGATTTAAATGGTAGGGGTTGTTGTATGTAGGATATCCAAATTGTGGAACACCTTGTTGGTACATCTGTCCTCCATAGAAATTGTTAGGGTGCTGTGTATTGTACCCCATTTGATTTGGATAAGCGTAATGTCCTTGAAATTGTGGGGGTTGCGCATAAGGTATATGAGTTGGCTGTTGGTTTACTATTCTCGATTGTAATGAGATATGGAGATTTAGAGCCGTGCTGAGACTAATGTGGTTTTCTAGAGAGCGTAGACGTTGTTCCATTAGCTCTTGTTGGTGGTTGGAAGATTGTTGTCTATCATTGCACGAATGGTGGAATTGTTATAGAGTTGTTTCCATGTATAGTGTTTGGAGCTTCTATATTGTTGTTTGTGCCAGTTGATGTGTTTTGTATAGTCTCAATGACTCTCTTCAGTTGTAGAATTTCGTTTTCTAGACTCAAAATGCTTGCTCTTTGAGAGTTAGAAATATTTCTTTCCTCTATTTTTGATTGGTTTTTCCTTATGTTCTTCCTATTTTGGACATTCGTATTTGGTGTAACAGTATTAGCTGGTTTGAATGTGATACCAGTTGTATTATTGTCTTGTGATATTGTGGGCATTGTGTCTGGCTCAGAAGATATATTTTGTATCAGTATCTCTGTGTTAGGATTTTGTGATACCCGAATATTTGACTGTCTCAGATTTTCTAATTCTCTATCGTGCTCTTGTGCAGGACAGTTTGGCATATTATTGTCTACATGCTTTGGTGTTGTTTCATGTGTATCTAGATCTCTATCATGCTCTTGAGTAGGACAATTTGGTGTGTTTTTGTCTACATGTACATGCTTTGGTGTAGTTTCATGTATATCAATGTTATCAAACAATAACTGTTCATTACACTGTGCACAGTGAAATCCAGTTTCTTTGTATATATTATCAACGGCTGATGGAAGTATATTGGCACAATTGAAGTGAAACCAGTGGTCACAAGAGTCACATGCTATACCCTCAACAGTTACATCGGATTCACAGATAGGACATATGCATGAATTTTTAATGTTGTATTTGTATCTATTATACAATTTGTGTTGTTATCCTTGTATTCTAATAGTTGTCTAGATTTTGACATTGTTGTAACTGTTTGTTGCTCTTGCGAGTCATTATCTTTGATAGCTAATTGATCAGATGTACTTGTTCTTGAAACAGTATTCTCTTTAATATTTTGGTTGTTCAACTGTGTTGAGATGTTTTGGTTTATCACATCCAATTTTTTCAAATTTACTTTAAGAATATTGCATAATATTTCTAATATGTCATTGACAAATATATCTACATGATTTCCATTTACGGTCATTATATTGGTGGAATTGTAGCAGTTTATTGTGAATTTTAACTGATTTCCAGGATGACCGTTGTTTTTTTTCTATTGAAAACTTTGTAGCAATGATCTATGATTGAGTTTGAGTTGTCTATGCCAGTTTGTGTTTGGATAGTATAAGGGTCACTAAATTCCTTTGAATTTAAGATATCCATAATAGATGTTTTTGCTAGCTCATATGCCGCTGTACTATATGTAAGGACAAAGTTTTTGCCTGCTTTCATTTCATATTTGATATGCTCACGGTGGCAATTGTCACTGATGCTTTTTATCTAGAGCTTTTTGTTTGTTCAAGTTATATGGTCTGTTATGGGTTACAGAGTTTGTAGGCAATAGGCTGCTTGTAGATAGCGCTTTTGAGAGCTGTCTAGTCATTGAGCGTGACATCGTGATACCTGATGTGGACAATATATTAATTGTGCAGTTGAAAAAAATTGCTTTCCGGAATTATTTAGTAATTTACCCTGATACGCACTGAACTTTATTTGTAGCGGAAACGTTCGGTTTTGTTCATTTGGAACTATCGGACTTTTACTTCAATGACAGTGCTGTTAAAAAGTATTTTTACTCTTTTAAGTGAAAAGCATTTCTTTTTCTACCAAGAATGCGCAGCATGTAAATGTCTCGTCCCCATATTGAACTACAATATAGATATTAATTTTTTTTAAGATAGACGAAGAAACCTTAACCTACTTTACTCACATGAGATGAGTACACGTCATGTCAACAACCAGAGACATATACATCATACATCATACATGTCTCTGCAACAACAGAATAATTTCTGCTCTATTTTTACCGTAAATACGATATCAAATTCTAAAATATACAAGCTGGAGAAATATATCAACATAACTTAAATCTTACTTCATTTAAAAAAAAGTGAAATTTTATTTACACAGCAAACATGGTAGTCCAAATGGAAGGCGTCACAGAAAAAAAAATTAAAATAGCCTTGCAAGACGTCATAATTCTTTGGACTACAAACATGGCAAAGAAACAAAATATTACTGAAGGAGACCTCAAAACACTACCTGATAAATTTAAAATTAAAGGCTCTGGCTACGACCTAACATTTCGGCAATTAGTGTCTAACGTAACAATATCTTTTTAAAGGCAGTGCTTTAATGCCTTTCTGGTTGCCGTGTTAATCTTTCTTTCCGCGATATCCAACTTATCTACGTGGGGGGGTCATTAAGCTCCAAGTAGATCCAGAAAATGTTGATTCTCTCCTCTTCTTATTGTGATATAAAATGTTTTTTGTTTCATTTCATTTACATTGGGAAATAGAGAAACGATCATTGTGTTTTGTTAGTTTTAAAAACTTTTGATATATTTGTATTTTACATTAGGCCAAAATAAATAAATGGTGTGTTTCCGGTTTCCCGACCCTACCTCCGTTTCAGACGCCGACCCTAAACATTTTATTGACAAAAATAAAATAAAAATTCAAAATCCGGATTTGTCAGTCTGTCCGGATCCGATTATTCGTTTAGAATACTATAAATCTTCAAAGCGTTTGATAATAACGACAAATATTGATAAGTAAAGCGTTTCAAGGACCAAGATTTTAAATAAACAAGCATGGTTTTTCGGCAACCGTGTAGCGTATTAGCTGTCAAATATGCGAAATGTGATCACATGCACGCAAAATATAATGACATCGAATCCGGATAATTACGATATGATGAATCTTTTTGAAGAAAATCAAGCGGACCTATAGACGAAAAAAATTCGAAGTTGACGCACTTTGAACAGCCTTTACAAGCGAGATTTTTTAAATATTTGTATATATAATGAAGTCTATTCAGTATATATACATATATTAACTAAATCTCGTCTTGTACCTGTGCTTCTTTGGACCCGCGGCAACAGTCGGAATCGTTTCAGGTTGGACAGACTGTAACTGTCGGTAAATTGACTAACAATTTTATAGTAAAAACTGCTAAAATCAATCCAGCTTTTGTTGTAAAACATGCTCTTACGAATGTTGTACAGAATTGTGCCCAGGACGCAACATAAACGGCTGTTAATGCTTTTTAGTTTATGATGGCAAGGGAACAGACAATGTGGAACGAGAAAGATGAAACTTCAGAAGCTTTCTCCAGTAGGCAGACATGGTGTATGATTCATATTCATTTATAAATGAATCTGCCCCAGCACCATGTCTACTTTTATTCTTTTTTATTTCTCTGGCTGGTCCCATAACAATTTATACAAGAAAAGGGAAAAAATCCTGTCATATTTACATCTGCAATTTATTTGACCAGTAGATTAATGAGGTACCTTCACGACGAATTGTCACGAAATAGAAGTTCCAAATGGAAAAAGTGTTCTGGAATATTATTTCCACTGGAATAAATATTACAGTATATGTTCCTAACGGAATGAATGGTATAGAATATTTGTTCCAACAGGAACAGATATTATGACATTGGTTATAACAAAGTTTCCAGTGGAACTTCTGTTAGGCAGAACAATCATATGTAGACAGAATAACGCTAAAAAATCTTGCCAAACGACGTTAACGGTAATTTTTGGTGCATGACGATAAAATGTACACTTTCTTTTAGACGGTTAAAAAATTGACTGATTTTGACGAATCACGTAAAAATTTTTCCAAAAAATTATGAGACCTATAGTATACAAATCTCTGAAGAATCAGGATAAGGATATTTTGATGAATTAAGGTAAAATTTTAACCAATTTGACGCTAACGGTAGCCAAAAATGACCATTTGACGCCTGACGGTAACAGGCATTACTACCATCATTAATAAGACAAAGATTTCACATTCTCACTCTTCTCAAAACCTGGAATTTTAATATTGTCAGAACCACCCAATCTTCAATCACCATCACATTTTGTCAAACATCAAAACACATCTGTATATTAAATAAAGAGGGTGCAAGGGCAGAGTATTAACCCTAAAAAAATCATAATTATCTGCTGCTTAGCATCGGTTCACAGTTTTTTCAAGGGTACGAATCTGCTTCCATATGTATACCCTGTGTGACATTTACATTTTTAGGTTCAACGAGGATCAACATAATAACATACCATGCCAGATTTTTCACTGCCATTTTTGGTTTAAGATAATTAATCGTGAAGAACATACACTTTTCTTTTTACGACCAATGAAATGCATAAAATTTTCATTAAAGTTTATTTTCATATTTCTGACGCAGAATTAAAACAGAAAATTAAAAAAGCTGTAGATTTAATTACTTTTCTAAATATCAGAGAAGCCCGCACATCAAACTATTTGATTTGGAACTTTTTTCTGCTGTCGACCCATCAATAAAAAAAAAAAAAAATGTTTTCATAAAATAAAATGTTTTACCTACCTACCCTACCTAATTTTTTTGAAGATGAAATAGGAAACACACTATTAATTTATTTTGGCCTTATAAGCAGTCAACCGATTGACAAACTAGAATTATTTGAATTCCGTGTGGAAAGAGGTCGGGTTAATTTCGAGTGTTATCTGCAATCTAGATGTTTATAAATCATTTCAGTCGTTGATATAATAATTAAAGGTCGACTGAACATGAATTATATTATACAATTTAAAGCGCATTTCTGTTTATGCACGTTAAACCCGTCTAACGTTATTGTTATTTCGCAGTTATATAAAGTAGCAAATTATCGTTCCTGAATAGGTGGCGCCGTGGTAGCCGATCCTGTTCTTCAACTTCCGGTTTCTGCACTATGCAACTATTACAGTTGCATTTTTAATTAACGATGCCAAGTACTTGTTGTTGTGTACCTGGATGTCATTTAAGAGGAGGACATGCATTTCCAAATGACTTAAAAAGAAGGAAAAGTTGGATCAATGCCAAGGCCCATACGCAGATTGGACGAGAACAGGATGAAATCGTGGAGTCCGTCTCAATCAGCTGTTGTTTGCAAGGCACATTTTACTGAAAAAGACTACGTGCAGGAAACTATTCATGGTAAAACTCTATTTTCTTTTTAAAATATATAGTTATATATGTAATCGCCATGCGAATAAACCAAAGTCTGTTTACAACCGCAATTATCGTTTTAGAATAAAAGGGGGTGGTTAATTGAAGACATCATAATTTTTTGGATTACGATTCAGTGTGATCTGTTTGAGATTTTTTGGTGCTTGCTACAATTATAATGATTTCTTACAAGAGGTATATCATACTGAGAATTATTTTAGCAGTAATTATGCTAATGTAGTAATGACAGGAATGCATAAGCTATGCCTCATAGACTTTCTTGAAAAATATCAATGACAATGTTAACAGGAACAAAACAATGACATGCTCTCATCTATATTATAGATATTTAGGTACAAACAATGTATGTTTGTTGCATACGACTCTCATTGTTTGTCCTTTGGATTTACATAACATACATTTTGATGTACATTGAATCAGGCTTACATAGTTTTATCCAGATTGTAATGAATAAATCTAGTTAATATTTTGCCAGGTAGTACAAAGTATGCATTGCTAATGGAAGTTCATTTAATTATCAAAAAACTAATGTTTTATAACCTTTTTCAGGGCGCAAACCCACCATACAGAGACTGTTGAGCTTCACAGATGGAATTAAGCAAACACCATCAATGCCTATATTTTCAGCAGAGAATTTTGAAATGAAGACATGTGACACAGCCATGCATTTTTATACCGGTTTAGAGTTGTATACTAAATTTTTATTTGTTTTGACCACACTTGGTCCAGCAGCACATTGTTTGAGATACATATATTTTCAAATTGATAGGGTGTCATTTGAAAATCAGTTTTTTTATGACTTTGATGAAATTGAGGCATTATACAACCAACTTTGAACTGTCTAGATTCTAGATTGAAACTAGTGTTAAGAATATTGTGTAAACATGGATTGTTCTTATGTCTAAACAGTGGTGTGAGGCTAACACTTGGCCATTTAGTGGTTTAGTCAGGTATTTTTCGCCATCCAACTTCAATTTAAAGTTTCCTACAACTTGGATTATTATTGACAGCACAGAATATCCCAAGATAAAACCTAAAGCTCCTAGAGCTCAGGCAACCTTTTCATCATATAAAAACAGAAACACTGAAAATACCTGTATGTTCGACACCTGGTGGTTTAGTCAACTATGTCTCTAATGCATATGTTGGTTGTACCAGTGACTGTGAAATATTTGAAAGATGTAGAATAGTTCAATTATGTGATCCAGGTGACAGTGTGATGGCAGACAAAGGTTTAAATGTGCAAGATTTGTTTGCTCACTTTTTTCAAAAAAAGAAACAGAATTAGTTCCAAAACTCTTATACGGGATAGAAAAGTCTCCAATTAACACGTGCACATAGAGCTAATTATTGGACTTGGCAAAACATACAAAATTCTAATAAATCCTATGAATGGAACTGAAACAAAACTTTCATCTGAAATAACATTTAGTTGTTTTATGTTGTGTAATTTTACAACTTGTATTGTGCCAAAGGATGCATAAATAAAAGTGACGCAATGAAGTTTGTTCTGATATATATATATATATATAAATATTATTTACAATTACATGCACATGTAAATTGTAATGCATATAAAAATAAGGAGATGTGGTATGATATTCAGTGAGTTTATCGAACCAAAGTGCATAAGAAATGGGTTAAGCAGTTACAGGTGTTACTGTCACCGTACAATCTCCAACAATTAGAAAAACTTGTACCGTGTAAAAAATTTCAGAGATCTTACAACTAAGTTTTGTTGTCTCACCTTGACTTTGGTGAATTGTTTATATCTGTTGATGTAAATATAAAAAAGAGGATGTGGTATGATT